TGGGCTGGGAATGCACCTGGAGCTGCTCCCCTCCAGCTACATGGAGGGGCAAGTTGGAATTTTATGGGAATTGGGATGAATTTCAGGCTGGATTTCAGGATGAACTTCAGCTCAGTGACCACAGTGAAGGTTGGCACGGCGCCCTCAGCAACTGGGCTGGTGTTTCCTTTGGGCATTTATCATTTCCTGTCAATAATCCTGTCCAAAAAATCCCACCCGCAGTACAGGTGGACTTTCCAAGGCTACGGAATTTAGGACAATTACTGGTGAGAGGAGAAACTCCAGCAAAACCTTGGACTTGCTTTGAAGATTCGGGATAATTTATTTGATATACTTGGATCGACTTTGCATTGGACACACTTCAGGTAGAAGAGACCAGGACCGCATCCTGACTGGTGCTGTGGGGAATGCTTAATTACTTAACAGGAATTAGTGTTGATTAATTAATTGGTGGTGTTGGACCACCCAAAGGAGAGGATGGTGAGGAAGCACTGGGTTGTCTCTCAAATTCGGGCTGGGGGAACTGAGAGTGATGACTTCCCACAGGGCTGGAGTGTGGCAACACCATTTATATATTTATATCACATTTCTATGTGATGGCACTGCCCTCAGACAGAAGAAACCAGGAATTCCCACCTTTATTTCTCCTTAGTCATTCCATGAGGTGCCTTGCACGCAAATGAATCGGGAATTACAGCGGTGGACAAGGGGGAGCAGCAGAGTCCTGAAACTGCCTGGTTTTAGTGCTCCCTCCTACCCCCATTTTATAATAATAGTTTATATTATAGTTTATTTTACAATACAATAGTTTACAACTCTGATTTACTATTTCAGTGCTCCCTCGTTTCCCCAGGACGCGTTTAACCAGTTCTAACAGTTTAACCAGGTCCCGCTCCAGCTCCGTTCCACCTCCTGCTGATTTCTCCTGGGAAGGGCCAGATTTCACACCGCCCAAGGGCGGCCGGGGCGTGCTCAGAGCTCGTTCCTCTGCGCCAGCCTCCCGAACCACTCACCGCTGTCGTGGTGGATGTTGCTGGCGGCCCTGATGGCTGATTTCATGGCGGTGTCGATCCAGGCGTGTGGCTGGGCCGCGTGCTCCCCGGCGAAGTGCACGCGGCCCTCGTGAGCGAACAGGGCCTGCGAGTAATCCACGAACTGGTACGGGGTGAAGGCGGCGAAAGCGCCCAGGGAGTGCTGGTCCAGCTGCCACTTCTGGATCACGTGCTGGTCGCAGGTGTACTGCAGGTACTCCTTGCTCACCTGGTGGATGTCCGCCAGGTCTTGCAGCACCACGTCCACGCACTTCTCGTCGGTGAGGGGCAGGAAGAACTCGGCGTCGTTGTTCCAGGTGTAGGAGGCCAGGATGACGCCCACCCCGCTGGAGAAGTTGTGGCTGGGGTAGTAGATGAAGCGGGAGGGGCGGTCGGTGATGGAGTACCCTCCGCGGATCCCGTCCTTCTCCCAGAACTTCTCGGAGCACGCCAGGATAATTTTGGAGGCACTGGCGTAGTTGATGGAGCGCAGGGCATGCGCCTTGATGGGGGACAGTGGTGGCAGGAACTGGATGTGCCTGGTGGCTTTGGCGCTGGAGGTGACAAGGACATAATCTGC